GTAGGACCATTGGTCATTATCTATTAGTCATTATTCAACTAAATGTCCATCATCACTTGGACATTATTCTTCTCACTAGTCATTATTAAGTCTTATTTAGGAAATAAAAAAGTTCAAGTCTTACATTGAGAAATGACTTATGTTTTAGTCCTATCCAGTGCAAATTTCACTTTTTTATAACAACAATATGATGATCCAAGAAGACGAGAAGTGCAGGAAATTACCATGAGGTCCCTGTTTTGATGACCCTCGACGATGAACTTGGCGATATCTCGTGAAATGATGTAGCCCGGACCATGTGCCCAGGGCGGATATGATGAATAAGGCCATTCCTGCACGTAAGCATCAATCAAAAGCTCAAGTTTGTGGTTGTAGGTCCAGAAAAGATTTTACAATCTAACAGAGTGACATAGAAAATTATTCAAGTTAAGGAAAATAGTTGTACCTGAGTACTGATGTACCATTTGTTTTCCTTGTCCCGGTGGGGGGAAGATTCGAAAGATATTCGACCATACAAGAGACCGTCCTTTTGCTTCTCTTTGAGGCTTGAAAGAACTTCATCTATCCTTACAAACGCGTCGTCGTCCGTTTTCATGATATAGTTAGCCGGGATGATTTTCACCTGACATACAAAAAGTCCCACATGCCGAAACGTAGCATAGAGAGAATGACAGGTTAATAAGATCTTAGGTAGTTAGGTTATTAAAGTAACGAATCGACTGAATTCAATTTTTTGAATGTGGTTGGACTGGCATACCCCAAGAATGCATATCGCAACGGTTTTCAAACTGAGTAGGCTGTAGTAATCAACAAATGGCATCAGCTGAACATCTCTGTATGTTTCAGCTTCTTTCCACACTTCCATATTCACCTGCTTGCTTTTATGCTGCATCCAAATTTTTTTTTACAAAACAAATCAAATCTCCCCTCTCCTAAAATGATTATTTTATTATTATTGTCAACAAACCAACTCAACCAAAAGCTCAATCTTGAGGTTGTAGCGCCACGAAAGGTTTTTATATTCTAACAATTATTATTACTATTATTATTATTATTTGAAATGGATCTCTACTCACAAGACCAATGAAAAAGCGGACAGCCACTTGCCCAGAGCGCACGGCATCATACTGCATCCACGACTTCCTCAAAGCCATCCGTCTGTCGAAATGGTTTCCCTTTGAGAAAACTCCGACCACGAGAGTGAGCCGTTTCTTGGCACTGAGAAACGGAGCTTTGAGGTGGTCAATATCAGCCAAGTCTGGATCTTGAGAAACCGGCAGTCCTTTCGCTAAGGCTGATACAATGCCCAACCCACCCTCCACCTGGACTTCATTAACCAACCATGGCTCCAGTTTCTACAAAATCATCACAAGTTGTACTCAAGCCCTTGAGTACATAAGCTACAAAATAATACACACACACACACACACAATGATCTAGCACACCATACCTCACCTCTCTATAGGCAAAAGAGGTTTCATGTCTTCCATTCACAGTCATATGAAACCCTTCCGAACCAGCCCATAACGTTGAAGTAAACAGGACACCTTCAGCGAATGGGAAATCATGACTTCTTCCTTGTTCAGTCCCATTCGAAGCGTCACTCAGCTCTCCATTTGAAACAGGCCGATTTGTGTTGCTTCTGATCACTTTAGCATTACACGCCGCAAGTCCATCAACTGAAATATATATGTATGTATACGCATATATAGGAAGAAGGAGAAAAGAAAGTGTTACTCCCTTCGTCCCCCAAAAAAAAGGTCAGATTTTGAACTTCCCACAAATCACAGCAAAATCCAATCTAACTGTGAGATTTCATCCCAAACCAATTGAGAATGGGAGGAGTAACTCGTAGTCTTATATATATATAAATACATGTATTAGTCTTTCACCTTTTAGCGTGTGGGTGGAGCCATGACTCGGGCACCTCTCCTCTTTGCCCCAACCAGAAGCATTGGTCCATGTGTTTTGAATTATAACCGGATTTCTAGTCAAGTTCTCCCCCGGCAAAACAACATTATAACACAGCAAAATGGGGGGCTTTGGATCCTCAAGAAGCCGAGAAGCGACAAGATTGATTTGGAAGCTCTCCTTTTGCGACTCGGGCACCCCAATCACAGAAATGGACGAGTCCTCGATCAAACCGCAAGGAATCTTAATAACAGTCCCATTCCTCCATACCAAGTAAGGACACTCCTTATCATCTCCCTTCTCATCAAAAGCTTCAACTTGTTTAATATTCAACAACAACTCTTTCCAAGCCACAGAGCCCTCCTTGATTCCCTGAGCTGTCTCGGGCAGTGCATCTGCCCGAGAGAGCAAGGACCTCATCTGGCCCCACACAAGCATACCCGCTTTCGAAACATTATCAACCGGGCCAAACAAATCATCCAAGCCGTTAAAGTTGACAAACTGGGGCTTTTCTTTGAAACCGGGATACTCAATTTCCTTCAAAGGAGGCACCTTTTCCTCCTCATTTTCGTCATCGCCAATATCTTTCGCATAATCCTCCGCGTTATAGCCACTGATGGGTGGGTGATTGTTGAAAAAATCGTATGCGGATGGTTTTCGCAAGGGTTTTTCGATGGAGCTGTAGCGAATAAACAATGTAACAGCAAGGCCTAGAATGAGCAAGCATCCTGCCCACTTCTTCATTCCTTTTTTCCCTACGCCGCCAGATTAAAGTTTCCAGTTTGATGAACACCTAACATTGTCCAAAATTGACACAAGAATGTTAGTCACATTCAACTATACAAACACATAAAGTTCTGGATGGAGCACAACAAAATTGAATTACACTTTGTGAAAAAAGAGAAAAAAAAGGATTCTTTTTTTTCCTACTTCAATGAGTATATTAAGGCTCTCCATGGCAAAATTACCTGAAAAGGGTTACAAGTGAAAAGGTGATTTGGGTATTTCTCATTTATCACATTTTTTTCTGGGTTTGGGTTCAAATGGCAAATAGGGACAGATCTTGAAACTGAGAAAGCAGCTTCAAGAAGAGAACAGAGTGCTTCAATGGAGATTTGGAATAGGAATATGAGCAAAAAAACGGATCTTTATAAAATAAACACGAAGATGAGAAGCTGTATATGAACCTTAATAGAATATAATACTGAAATTTAATATAAAATAAAATAATAAAAAGGCAGTTTCTTGATTATGCTAGAGCTGAAGAGATGAAAGCTTGGGTTCTGGAGTTGGGCTTATAGTGTAGTAGTAGCATATTCAGCTCAGACGACGTCGTTCCGTCTCTCTTTGTAGGAGTAGGAATACGAACTGTACAGCCGGTACCGTCGACCAGCCGACATGTTATGTCCGGTAATTTTTAGTCCCAGCAGATACTACCGGCCGAATACTAAGGGTACGTTTGGTCTTCATTTATTTTCCATTATCTAAATAATGGTGTAATAATTTTCAGTGGCGGGAATAATGTCCAGTGACACTTGACATTTATTTTAAACAATGTCTAGTGACAGTAAACATTTTACTCTGTTTAGGAAACTCATTATATTTTAATATTATATAAGTAAATTTTCCTTTGATCATTACTAAAAAAGGATGAGTCTCATGAGGATCCTCTCAATATTGATAAGAGAAGTTAAACTAAATTATAATCACAAAGTAATAAATACAGAGTGAAATCTATACCACACAGTTATCAAAAATAGAACTCGCTTTACCTCTAATGGCACCCCTTGCTCAACCACACAATTTGATCATTACTCTATTTACCTTATCTCCCCAAAAATGTCTTCTTTCGAACTTACGTGAAAAATCTAACTCTTTTTTAAATAATTTTAGTTACAAATTGGTATATAAATTAAAAAATTTACATACATATTTAAAAATAACATTAAAATTTCTATAAAGTAATTGGTAGCATGATTATTTTATTTTATAAAATGGTCAATGAAAAAAATCATCAACAATCCAAAATCGATAAGAGGTCAATTATTTTGAGACAAAGAATATATATATATATATATATATATATATATATACATATATAACATATATAAAATATTATACAAATGTAATATTTTAAAATTACATTTTGAAATAAATCTACAATTACTTGTCAGAACTCAATCTATTTTTCTATAGTTTTAGTCTAAGTCTAAAAAGCTCGAGAGAAAAATTAGAATGAGAAAAAAGTTTAGGGCCAGAGGAAGTAGCACACAATATCATTATCCTTTGCATGTCTTTGGTGATGTTTATATTAAACATATTTCTTATTTGATATTTCTCGATATCAAAATAATCATAAATAAACATGTAGATATTTCTCAATTTCAAAAGATATCAAATCGAGATTTTTGAAATCTTTCTCGACCATTGGCCACTTATCCATAACGGTCCCCCTAGCCTATCACAGCCAATAATATCATGCGAAGTATTAGAAATCTATCAATATTTCCATTTGTTTAGACTTCTGAACTCATATACTCTGTATGATTGTGTAAATTAACTATACCGGGCTAACAATTGTTACCAGGTCAAGTATTATAAGATAAGTCTTTATACATGAGTTAGGAAATGTTTCGTTCAACTTATTTTTTCTGCTTATTACTTATTTTTATTATATCAGATCAAAAACAACTTTAATTATAATTGTAATTAGATCATGCAAACGGAAGGAAGCCTTATAAAATACAACGTTATTGTTAACTACTCTTGATATGTGACTAGAATTGCTTACTCGTGATTGATACTAGGATTGTTCATTGATCCAAGACCGGAACAATCGAACCGAACAGACCGAACACTAAATTGAACAATATCCCTGACCGAAGACCAGACCTAAACTTAATCAGTTTTGAACCTGCCCGAACCAAAATACTTGAGACCAAACTGCTACAGACCGATTAGAACTGATGGTGACATCTCACCATGTGAAAGCATCAAATCCACAAATGCTGTTAATTTTTGAACTGCAGAGGATCTTAGCTCAATCCACTTAAATAATGAACATTAAGACTTCAAAAGAATAATAATTGTACCAAAGCTAGTAGTCCCTAGCTTTTACCTACCAAACAAACACTGAAAACACCCTACAAAGTGATAGCTGAAAACAGATCACAAAAGCCAATCCAAAGTGATGGCTGAAAACAGATCACAAAAGCCAATCCAATTCTTCATACAAGTCAATATGGTCACACATGTGACCCATTAAAAAAAACCAATGTGTACTTTTTTTTTGTTAATCACTGTCAGGCTAACAAAAAGAAAAATCAATATCCCATATGGAAACCAAAACCTTGTCTAAAAACTCCACCCCCAACCCCAGCACATCATATCAAGTTCTCTGGTGTATGTTTAATAAGCAGTTGGAGAGTGAGAGTCAAAAGAGAGAGAAACACACATGCAAACAATGGCAGCCAACCCCCATAGATGAAGCCCACAAGCCACAACCTAAGTATCAGTGCATCCATCCCTCACCTGGGAAAAAACCAAACAAAATATGCTTTTTTGAGGATTTGCAGTCCACCACAACAAGGGACCTCGACAGTAAATTTGGATGTACAGTGAAAAATCAAGCACTTGAGAGACCATTGATGGCCATGTCTTCATCAAACTTTCGGCATAGCACTTTTCCCAGAACCAGTATTCTCACTACACTGAAAGGATTTGGGATCGAGTTGAATAGATCCAACTCTTAAGAAGCCAGAAGGTTCGGCACATGCATTAACTTTCACGGGCACGGATCCTACTGTGACCACATCAACTGATTGGTTGCTTACTGGAGTAGCAGTATTAGTTGAAGTAGAAACAGTGTCCCTAGGATCAGACTTGGGGGGCTGCTTAGCATGTATAGTGAGAGAACCAATCTTCACAGCACTATCATCAATGCTACTTGCCACAATTTTCCCACTTTCGTTTGCACCATTTTTGTTGATTTCATGCACTTCTGGAATCTCCTCCTCGGACTTCTTGGGATCACAAAGCTTTGATGCTTGTTCGTCCCTCACCGCACTTTTTTTATTTTCGTTTGGAGCAGATTTATTGGTTTTAGGCAATCCCCCAGCACTCCCAGACTTCTTGGAATTGCCATTCTTTGATAGATTTTCATCGGCCTCGTTCTTCTCACTCGAACTGCTTAGGTTGGTTTTGGAAACTACAGTATCCTGCACTCTAGAAACCGGTTTCTCACTCTCACTAGCAAGGGATTTGCTAGGAATGGCTTGAAGCTCCTCAGTAACAGCTCCTAAAGTATCTCCGGCCTTTTTCAGATCAACATGATTGTATGTTTTCTCACCGCCACTGGAGGGTGATGAGTCAAAAATAGAATTGAACTTGCGGGGAGGATCTAGTACGGGTACAAGATATGGACTTTCATAGCTCCTAATAAGAAGCTTGGCTCTGTCTTCTTGCATAATCTTCTCTCTACTTTCATAGAACAAGAAGTCATCAAATAAGGAGGTTCTAGATGTGAAGTTTTTGAAAAGTTTAAGCATCTCCATCCCTTTCTTGTAATATATCTGCACATAAACAAACCAAAATGTGGGACCAAGGTAAATCACCTATTATAAATGTATCATGCATCAGGGCAGAATGTTCAGATAGCAGTCGCTCAAGGGGGAGAAATTAGCATATAATGGCAAGACAACTTCAAACCGGAAAAAAAAGCTTTATGTATATATAATAGCAGGATAGTTCTCCCTGCATCCCATAAAGAACTTCAAAGATTGACTTCAGTGTTTAAGAAAAATGTTGAAAAGGTGAGAAGTGTAAAATTCAAACTTCAAAGTTCTTCAAAACAAAGAGATATGTCATATGTCAGGAGCCACATATTATTTTCTTCCAAAGGTAATGGGAGAAGTGTGAAGTTTATTTTGGGACATCCAAGTAAGGAAAATGTGAACTTTTTTATGCCTTTATGGGGCAAAGGAAATATAAAATAGCAAAATAGCACCCGTCTGTGATTTTCATGCTATGAATGCTCAAATAGTACAAGCATGCAAGCCTTCTTATTATCTGTTAGTCTGTAGAGCGTGTGCTTATTTCTAACCAAACAAAAAAAAAGAAAAATAAACTTCACATAGCATCTGTAATAACGCAAACCTCTTGGGTGTCTCTGCTATTAGTCACTGGCTTATGCTCATTGTTTTCCAATGTGATGTGCCTAAAGTTAGAATTTGAAACGTCTTTAACAAAATGCCACTTCACTGGGAAACTGCCGCTCCATTTATCTTGCTGCCAGAAATCCATGTCTCTATGGAAATCTACATGGCCAGTCATCTCCGCAACACCACAGAACTGTCCACTTGCATTTACCTTCATATTTATAAAAAAGTGAAATATATTAGTAGTTAAATACTCCATCTAACATAAGAAGACATGTAAAAATTCAGCTGCACATATTTTTTACTGAAGTGAAAACTGTGTGGCCGAGATTTATGTGAAGTATGACAGTATGAAAAACAGTTTTCCATACATACAAACGCACATCTTTTGGAGACTTGCAGAGCAAATGCCTAAAATGTGACCTTGAAAATAAAAAAAGGTGCCAAGCTACAACCCCCAAAACAAATGAAAGAAAATATGAAAAAGTGCTAAAAATCTGACTCACTGAAAAAAACAAGAATACTGGACAGCCTATTGAATTCCCAGCAGCAATCCTCTGAGCGTCGTCATAAGCATTACTTAGCTTCCTGTTCCCATTAGGAGTAGATGACCAAACACCGTACTTAATGCTCTTGTGCACGTCATCTTCACTGTAGGATTTAATAACAAAAAACTTTGCAGTCACAAAATCCATTTGAAAACCATCATGATTATACTGATCTCTGGATATAGTGATGTTTCCATGAGCATCAATGTCTCCGGCTCTTGTAGTGTAGGCCTTAACAACCAATGGACTATTCAACCTGCTGATTCGAGGCACTAAATTCTGCCCAGAAGATACAGCTGGGCTTACTTTAACATCTGTGTGGACTCTTCCATGCAAAAACTTGGGCTGAAGCTTGTCTACACTAGCCACATCATGAGATGCTGGTCGGAAATTTGACAGTCCATTCCCAGGCGGAAGGGAAATCCTTACCTGAGAATGACTAGATTTCCCATGTGAAACACTTCCTGGTGCTTGAGCAACTTTACCCTGTAAAACAGGGAGAAATTAAAATATAAGGGAAAATCCTATTATCTTGCAACAAGAACAATACTACGGAGTATAATGACTGCAACAAATTCACAGGCCCAATGTTGAAAGGGAAAAAATGTCAATACTTGGGATTAACGAGAGTTTACCTTTGAAGAATCAGAAGGGGCGCTTCCATGGGCAACTGGCTGCTTGCTGGATCCAGGAAGAGATTTAGTACTATCTGAACCCCTCACAAAAGAATTAGTTTGACTAGAAGAAGGACCTAATGAAGCTGGGATGAAGATTGGAGACGCCGAAGAAAATTTATGACCGGGACCCTGGCTTTGAGCTATATTAGCAGAAGAAAAGGAACTATCAAGGAATGGGGTTTTACTGTTTGCCACAATATCAGATTCATTTTGCATTACCATTGGGAAATATGATTGGGCAAACTCCGGGTTTTCATAAGAAGGAATGGTGTAGTACTGCTGTGTTCCCATATATGAAGGGTCAACTCCTACCACAGCACCAGGAGTATAAGGGCTATATGCAGATTGTGCATACCCGTAGCTAGGTGTATAATATACATATGGAAAGCCTTCACTCTGTGAACCCTAGAAAAAGATAAGAAACCAAAATCATGATTAATATCAAGAAATGTTACCACTCGTGCACATAACATACTAATGCAAATTAAAATATTCATTACCGCATACATATCTTGACCATCCAGACCAAAAACTCTTTGGTGGTCATCCCAATTGCCGGCCGAATCAAATCCTACCCAAAATCAAGTTGAACACATCAGTAACGAAAGGTTATTTTTGAGATCTGAGCAAAAGAAAGTACGCGTAACTCAATGTGCTTCTAACTAACCTGTACAAAAATACCCATAATTGGTCCCAGAGGGATAATACAAGCTCTGATCAATAACAAACTCAGGAACACCTTCACTATACATAGCTCCAAAGCTTCCAAGAATCAGACTGCTCAACTGGAAGTTTATCTTAGAACTTCAAAATCTGTGAGTAGCAAAACAGAACACTGGAAACCAGAACACAAATCAAGGCAATGAAAATACAGAGATTCTCAAACCCAATCAAAAGAAAAAAAGCGAGAAAAATATCCCCACTTGTTTCAGATGACCGGAATAGACAATAAGTATAGTTCTACACGAATTTAACAGCCACGAAATAGCTATGCTCCCTAAATTCAAAAGACCACTTTTTTCCCCAGCAAAACGAAAACAGAACAAACTGAAACGACAGGAAGTGAACGAGAAGAGGGTGATAAAGGATATACCAGTAAAGAGAGAGAATTTCAAATTCGCGAAGAGGTCGACATCATCGTCAAATTTTAAAACTGAGAGAGAGATTTCTTCAGGGCCGTATTTTTGTCAAAGACGAAGCGCTTAAGGGGAATCGAAAACCCTAACCCTAGAGAGAGAAACGCGGTGAGAGAGAATTTTATAAGGTTTTTTGTTTAAAATAATATACTCCCTCGGCCTTTCTAGTGGAGTACTACAATTTCTCCACCCAAATGAAATTTCTCGACCATTTTTTTATTGCGTATGAAATACGTAGTACGTAGTGCCCCCTATAACCGCATGTATTCCGTATTTGCCTCCCACTACTAGTAGAGTAGGGGTGTAAACGAACCGAATCGAAGCGAATACTGATATATTTGAATTTGTATTTGTTTAATTTTTTTGAATATGAATCCGAATCCGAATATGAGACGAATTCAAAATAAGATTTCAATAAGTATTTGATTAATATTCGAATAGTTATCGAATCATAAACGAATATTTGAATAATCATACTATGTAATTTATATGATGGACCAACATCAATTTGTAATTTAACTTACGATACTCTTTATAGTATACTATATTTCGTATATAAAAACATTAATACATCTATATCTTACACAAATTATATTTTATAAAATATACTTCGTAACTATTAAAAATCATATGCTTTAGATTTTCGTGTTACGTTAATTTATTGAATTATTCTTAGTATTTTAAATACACTTTATACTATATTACTTTGTATGACTTTTGATGTTGAAAACATGGTCTGTGTATATATACATATATTCGAATATTCGAATATCATCCGAATCGAATATATCCCTATTTGTATTTGTATTTGATTAATATTCGAATCAAAAATAATATTTGAATTTGAATTTGAATTTGAATTTGAATAACGCGAATTCGAATCATCATATTCGAATACAAATCGCGAATCGAAATTTAAATATTTGATTTGTTTACATCCCTATAGTAGAGTCGTAGGTTGCTTTTTTTTGTTAATTCTGATATGATTTAATTCTTTGAAAATTTTGTTTGTTGTGATCTAAGTTGAAAAAATAAGTTCTCCTTGATGGAGTATTATGTAATATACTCCTTCCCTTTCAAAATTATCGTTCATATATTATGTAATATACTCCATCCCTTTCAAAATTATCGTCCATACTTTATTTTATGATATTTAAGACAAATATTGATTCTAGGCTAAATCTAAAAAAAAAATGAACCGGTAATCGGTCTTAAAATCAATGACAGATCTAGGATTTCAAATAATCGTGGGCATAAAAAGTCAGGGTTCAGGGAAGCACCAAGTTTTTTTAAATAGGGAATTTAAAATAATAAAATAAGTTATAAATTTTATTGAAATAGTTTATGAATGTGAATTTGAATAGACAACTTAAACTTTTATTTTTTAAAAAATTAAGTATATGCATTGAAACACACTTTAGGTGGGTCACTTCAATTTTAGTTGGGGTCAAATAATACAGGAGTGTAAAAAATTAAAAAAAAATATTAATCTTAAAACCCCAAAACTAGTTGGGGGCCAGGGTGCGGTTTTAAAAATATTAATCTTAAAACCCCATCAAATAATCAATTTTAAGATATAATTTTTAAGATATAAACCCCAAAATTAGTTGGTTATTATAATTTTAATAACCAACAAAAATTCTTTTTAAGATATAATTTTTAAGATATAATTTTAATGTATCAATTTTTGTTGGTTAATTCTTTTGTGGTCCTAATATCTATACTAATTTTATAGACTTTGATGTTTTAATAACATAAAAGTTTGGGCTTTTTATGAAAAGAAAAAGTTAAGTAATGATTGTCTAATGTAAAATATAAGAAAATTCACACTTCACACATGGATTTTAGCACTATAAAAGCACAATTCCTTTTTAAAACATTTATTTATGTAAAATTGTAATCTTTATATCTCAAATTAATCTTCTTTATTTTCTTTTTTGAATGTGGTGAACAAATATTCTTCTTTCATTTATGTAAATTTTTTTTGTAGTTGGCTTTTTTCACTCTCATCCAAGTCACTTTCAAGTAAGCACTTTTCTTTTCTTAAATTTTGTGCAAAGTCAAATTAGGAGGATTAATTTGGAATGAATGAAATATTTATTATTGATTTTAGGCTCTCTATATGATGATTGTACAATAACATTCTATATCTAAATTTATAACGTACAATCTCAAATAAAGATATCGATGACTCTTTTTCATTCAAAATTTAGAGTTTTCTTATATATTTATATATATGATCATTTAATTGAGTGACTTTTTAACATTTTAATTCTTATAATACTTTACAAACCTTTTCATTTTTTATAACTTCTTTTTTTTAATACCTTTTTTTTTAGTTTTTTTTTAACATCCAAGTCTATAAATCAAGTCCAAAAAACAAGAAACTTTAGTATGTAAAGAAACATAAAAAAGCTTCCCAAATTTCAAATTTGGGCCAGGGTCACCCGACTCGAATCCTTCTAGACGTGAATGTAACGCGGGCTTTTGACGACGAATCTCAACGGCGTTCCATGGAAAACCTGCCCAAAAATAAAAAAAAGCTAACGTCCGTTTCTCCTACATTTCCGTTTCAAAATTCCACAAAATAAAGCCGCACCGTAGGGTGGTTTACCAGATCTCTACGCATCTTTCTTTCTTCCCCCATCAGCCTTTTCATCGTAAGCCATTTTCATCTCTCTCTCTCTCTCATGCGTTTCTCAAATCTCTGGATCTGATTTGCTTCTGTGTAGTAAGATCTATCTTAATCGGCTTTATTTTTGCGATTTTATATGATTTACGTGATGATGATCATAATCGGGAACAGAAACGTGCTATGAATTGTTTGCAGTTATCTGTTTTTTTAAAAACATTTTAGTCTAGATGTTATTTTGGCCATGTTTTGATTTTTTTATCATCTGAGCTTGCTTTTACGGTCTGTGTTTTTCCTGATCTGCGATCGTGCCCCTGGAATGCCGTTGAATGCGTGCAGCGATCTCAGATTCGGGTGAAAATGACCTGATCTGTTGCATTTTCTTCATTTGGTGCTATTTCTGGGGCTGATCTGATATATTTTGCTTTGGTTGTCCTTTGTGCGAATCTATTCTGTTTTTATCATTTTCGTATGAATTATGCATATGAATCAGAATGGTTTGTGGTGGAGATTTGGATTGTGGTTCATGGATGTTGTCATCGATTTTGTCATTGTTCTTGATTTATCTGTTTATTGCCTAACCTGAGATCACTTGTCTCAGTTTGATTGAAAAAGATGGGGCTGTCATTCACCAAGCTCTTCAGTCGTCTTTTTGCTAAGAAAGAAATGCGCATTCTCATGGTCGGTCTTGATGCGGCTGGTAAAACCACAATCCTGTACAAGCTCAAATTGGGTGAAATTGTCACCACTATTCCCACGATTGGTATGCTTCTAGCTCAGTTTGATATCTTTGTCCTCAACGTTCATGCTTTCATAAAATCATTGCCAGGGGTCCTGATATTCAATACTGTTTGCAATTACCCTTTTAGGAATCAACCAGTAATATTCTTTTGGTACCTTTTTAGTGGAGTCATGATAAGTTTATGAATGATGCAAGTATAGAACTAAAATCACAGTTTGTTGATAAACTAACACTTTTTTATAAAATAACCATAAAACAGCTAAAATTTATAAGCATCTGTATTAAAAGTATTGGAAATGGTTTGGCTCGCATAATGTAGAAATGTGCAAAGTGCTATTTCTATTTGGCAATTTGACCACTCTAGATAATGTTCCCAGGGTTCAATGTGGAAACTGTTGAGTACAAGAACATCAGCTTTACTGTATGGGATGTGGGAGGTCAGGACAAGGTATGACCCCCCCCCCCCCAAACTCCAAACTCTTGTTTCCCCTTGTCTATTTATCATGATATGGTCTGTTATTTATCATTTTTTAGTTAGTTATTCATCATACTATTGTTTGTTAGTATGGAGAAAGTAATCATTGTGCTTATGGGACGGTCAGGTTCTGATTATGCTTTCCATCAGCACCTAACATAACTATAAGCTACAGATATTTCTGCCTGCTTGGTTTCTCTTCTCAGTTCTATAGTGAATATGAATCCAATTAGTGGCTGACATGTTTTGGTGCTTCGGCTAGTGAGGAAAGAGCTTTTTTTGTAATGTAAAACTATAAAATGCTGCCTTTGAGACCGAAACCAGGTTATGGTGTAAGGTGTTTGGCTGTGCCTGCTAGTCATCCTAAGCAGAACTAGTTAATCAATACAATCTACATCTCCTCAAAATATTAATCCTAAGCAGAACTAGTTAATCAATACAATCTGCATCTCCTCAAAATATTTGGAAACATAACTGTGTATTCATGTCTATCATGTTCGGTGGTTGCAGATTCGACCTTTGTGGAGGCACTACTTCCAAAACACTCAGGGTCTTATCTTTGTGGTTGACAGCAATGATCGAGATCGTGTTGTTGAAGCAAGGGATGAGCTTCATAGGATGTTGAATGAGGTATTACCAATATTTTAGAATTTCACATCTGGAATACCAATAGAATTTTGCTCCCTGCATATCTAAATATATGATTCATTTTGGTTTGGTGCTTACTTTAAGTGAACAAAGGAAATTGTTGTCTACCAATTTAACATTCAAAAAGAAGAAAATTAATTTGTGTCCCTCAAAAAGTTAAAAAAAGGTGGAAAAAAATAAAAAAGGGCAGTGGCGATTGGCGAAGTAAAATCTAGTTGAACACTTGAGCTTGAATTAGGAAAGGGATATAATTTTGGGATGGACCTAAGGAAAATGTGTGTGTGTGTGTGTTTGCTTATGTGAATTAGGTTCGATTCAAACTCTTTTTTTCTCCAAAACCTTTTAATGCAGGATGAATTAAGAGATGCTGTGCTGCTTGTGTTTGCTAACAAACAAGATCTTCCAAATGCAATGAATGCTGCTGAAATCACAGACAAGCTTGGCCTTCATTCTCTTCGACAGCGTCACTGGTAGATTTCATGAAAACCCATATGTGTAGCAGATTCAAACACCCCCCCCCCCTCCTCTGTCCCCCTAAAATGGTCTGGTGGAATAAAATGTTCTTTCTTTATCCTCTTCCAGGTATATTCAAAGCACATGTGCAACATCAGGGGAAGGACTATATGAGGGATTAGACTGGCTTTCAAACAACATAGCAAACAAGGTTTCATGACTCACTATTTAGTAAATCTGCTTTGCTAACCATTGCACATTGGTGTTTTTTTATTAAAAAAAAAACTTGAAATCAATTTCATCAATGCTTAGACATGGAAAGTATTGAAATTGATTACAGCTTCCCATTTAGGCAATGGTAAGCAAAAGTACAATGTGTGTGTGTGTGTGATTGTACTTTTACAGCGCTGCTCAAAGAGATAATTGACATGTTACTATATCAAATGCAGGGTTAGTGCAACATGGAAGAGCTTTGGTTGCTTCGGTATGATTGCATCATTTTAATCTTTGAGCATCGGTGTGGAACACCTTTATCTCTTTCAGTTGTAGGGTTTGGTGTTTTTGTTTTTGTGTTGAGATATTGCGGCGAGAGTTCAGTTTCTCGCCTTCATAAATAACCCTTTACTTGCTTTTTTTTTACGGTATTTTGTATGAAATAACACCCCGTTGCAGTCCATTAAAATTGGTTTTGTGAAGTCTGGCATCCCGTGTGATTTTTGTACATGCAATTGATTTAGTGCAGTTTTGGTGTGGAAATGATTGTTTTGGATCTCCCAAAAAATAGGCTTGTTTGCTAACTGGGAAATTGGGAAACAAAAAATTATTTGTCTTCCAAATTCTTCTTAAAGAAACCTTAAAAACATCAAAGTAATCACGTCTTTCGTTTTCATATTTGGAAAGTTATTTGCTATTTACTCTTTTTGTTATTGTTAGAAATAGATTCTACATCATTGTTTGCTTGTTTTTATTCATTTCAATTGGCGGTGTTTTGGAGAGTCAGTTACAATCACGATTACTGTTGACTTCATATTTGGAGCGTTTCAGAAGAAAAAAATTGTTCATTGATTATTTCAATGTTTGACAAATTTGGTATTTGATGAAATAGTTTACTACTCCGTAGCAATTTTTTTAATTACTTTTAAACACTTTATGCAAAACTTTGACTCTTGCAAAAATACTTCAAACATCAAAGACGATATATAAATAAACTCCATTGTGATCTTTCTAAATGCCTAAGAGCCCTAGAATAGGGTTTCAAACCATCTTTCTTCGTCATATCAGCTTGAACTCTTTTTTTAAAAAAAAATTACTTTGTAGTTTCACTAGAAATGAGTTTGAAGTTTCAGAACTTCAAACTGGGAATTTAGACCTTTTATTTTTTAGTACACATTTTGTAAAAAAAATAAGATTTCATTAATTAATTGAACTTAAACAAAAAAAATTTATTCAATAAAAATATTCACATTCAATAAAAAACATTAAATTAAAAAAGGATTGCATTATTAAAAAAACTAAAGCATATTATATTTTGCATTGATCTCATTTTGTCTTCTCTCGTAATACATTCGTTTGAATTCCTTTAATGTATCAAGGTCGGTTTCAATTATTTCGACCTCCACTGTCTTTCGATTCTCCCCTTCTTCTTCCATAAGATTGAACACCTGTATTTGTTCAACCATTGTCCGACCGATACCGTTGGAAGAGAAAACAAAGTCGGACCCCACCGAACTTGAGGTAATTGATTTTGCCTTCTTTCTTCCGACCGGCCGTGGAATGGGGTACTCATTATTTGAGTCGTCTAGGTCGACAAGAGGCCTTTGTTCCAACGAGCCAATAGTGTCATCGACATCCACCTCGGCAAAGAATCTTTTATTTGACGATCCCGACTCGGGGTTGTTGAGTTGTTTCCATTTCGTTGAACGACTTACAACTCTACACAACTCGACAGGGACTTTACCTTGGTGTCCGTTGTTTTGATACCGGGCGGTGGCTTGCCGTAGAGCATCGACGTAGTTCGTTTTTCTCTTTCAGAACCGAGAGCATTCCTCGTAAACTCAGATATACTTTCAAACTTTTCTGTTGATGTGGCACCATTTGGAAGTGAGTTGGTCTCAGATTCAATAGGAGGCGTCTTTGTTCAACACAACAAAGAACTTTTCCTCGATACAATCTCTCATCGCATCCTTCGTTTGATCAGAACCTTTAAGAAGAGAGATATATAATTGAACAAAAATATATATTTTAACACAAATATATAAAAATAATATATATAAATATATATAATAAAAAATATATCAATTTTTCCAACGATAGGATGCTCTGAGATGTCAACCCACGCGGACACCAACTCTTCTTCTTCTGGTGGCCACCTTTGAATGGACCGTGCCGCCTTGGTCATCGGCTTTTCGGTCTTTGATTTGTGACTTTTTCGGGTGTACACTTTGTTTCGGTTTAAACTCTTCCGGAACCGACTCTGGGTCCTCCAGATTTACCGAAGTTTGGGTATTGAAAAACATTGGATTATTTCCATACATCTGCTAAAGACATATTGCGTACTCGTTTGGCTCAAGACCGGATGCAAGAACGGAGGAACCGAAGGAATTCATGACAAAAATTAAAAAATTATTAGAGAAAGATAAACATTTTGAGAAAGAATTAAGAATTGTATGAAAGAATGGGTTTTGTGTGTATGTTTTTAAATACCCTCTCATATTTTAAAAATCTTAGACCGTTGGGGAGGGGGGCAACGACCTTTTCCTCAGTTCGCGTTGCGTCAAACGTCACATTTGACGCCCGTTTAACGGTAAAGGGGGCGGCGTTTAATGTCAGGTAGGTGTTAAACACCCCATAACGGAGTCCGATGTTTTGTGTATTTCCAGTGCTCTCAATGGTGTGGACAACATAGACAAAGGCTACGCTCCCTTCGCATGCCCAACTGATCCCGAAAATGAAATGATACTCTCTCCGTCCAATAATAATATTTTTTACCATTCACAAGCTCAACTATAACCATTTCTTTAATTTATTCATTTGATCATTTGATAAAACAAAATAGTCTTGTTTTCACGTATTGTATAAAATTTTTATAGTTTTAAATCTATAAATTTTATTAATTCTTCATCAATCTTTATATAAAATGAATTAAAAAATATCGATCAAATCATGTAGTAATTCAAAACTGGAATATTATTATGGGACAAATTGAGTATCACATAGAGAAAAAAATGAACAAAGAGTACACATCATCATAAAAATCAAAATAGGAGTTTCTATTTTTATCCCTAAAAATAACATCTATATTTACAATAGCTGACCTGACCTCTGTTGCCTTTGACCCCCATTGAAAAAAGAATGAAAACAAGTTAATTAATTACTACATCCCTTAACAACACTAAAAACCCAGCCGTTGCACTCTTACCCCTAAGATTTTAAGATATTGAAACGAATTTTTAGAATGGGAGGGAGTACAATTTTCCAATATACAATTCTAAGTTTTGTACGGCGATGTCAACAACAGAGATCTAAAAGAGTGGAAATAATTCACACGACTACTATGTTTTCACTTGGATCCACGAATTGAATCATTCAACTACCCAACTTTTCCATTCAAGGGTAATTTTATTTTTTTACAAGACAAAAAACGCCAAGACCTTAGAACAAAGACGAATGTCAAGAAATGTTCATTTCATTAAAAGATGGTGTTTTGTCCTATTCTTACCCACAATTCTTATTGGCTTAATGTTGAACTCATTTCAACACACCAACTCCTTGATGCAGTAAAGTTAAAACTAAATACACATGGATGAACACATTTATGATTTAACATGGAACATTCACAATAAAATGACATGGATGGACAACCGCGATCACACATATCGAATCACAACTTCAAATCCATTCATGGGTTCTATGAATCTATGGTATTCCGTTGGGTCCCAAATTATCAAGTGGGTTAAGACTTAAGAAGGGTGCCATTGGCAAAATATTCAATATAACCGATGAACGCGATAATCCAATACTGATATAAAAGTGAGACAAAAAAATGACAGAAAATGCCAACTCCAAAACAGATTGAATAGATGAAAATGACTCAATCAAAAGTAACACAACTACTCATGGTTTAATTCCCAATTGCAAACATTAATGGTTGTGTAGCTGAGTTTTGAGTTAAAAAATGCATAACAAATGCTAAAATCCAATACTTGTGTGGCTGAGTTTCGAGTTGCATCTAAAAAACTTTCAATATTTTCCTAAGATTGCAGTTTCAACTCTTAAAAACACTTTGTTCTAAAAAGAAGTTCTAAAGACGGTTATAATCTACTAGCATTACTCATTGAGAAACAAACTTACTACTCCCTCCATCCTAATATGTTTGTACAAGTACAGACTATTAGGCAAGAGATGCATCAGATGAAATCCAAGAAAGATATAGTACAAAACAAGTCAGTTTCCCACTTCACTAATCATTGCCCAGATGAAATTTAAACATTTGATGCATCAAAAATGAAATCCAAGAAAACTTCCAAAATGCCCCAGAAATCAAAACACATTCTGAATATCATTCAGATTATGCACATTTCAAGCAAAGATTATATCTTAGCATGACAAAATTAGCACAAAAACAATCTGTGTTGAAGAAGGCATTAACTCAATAAGAGGTCTAGATCACAAATGAAGCATGAAAGAGGAGTAACTAATGGACCGATGAGTTCCAAACCCATAGCATGTAAAATTTAAAGTTAACATTGCTTTACGGGAACAACGAAAATTGATTTTTACCAATTTAACCTTCGAAAAGAAGCATAACTTCTGCTACCAAACTCTAATCTATATCGGGATCAAGTCGTTGAACATTCGATAAACCAAATGAAGAATTCACTACAGATATTTACCATCAGAATTTACTACCATCAAATATTGCTTCCCATACTCATATCAGACACTAATCAAAACAGCTTGATTCTTTCTTTATATCACATTATGAAGATTTCAAACATTAAGAAACACTGAAACAATGATTAAAGCCAAGCATGAAAGAATTAGCACGCAAAACAAATAGTGATGAAAAAGGCATTAACTCGGAAATAAGTCTACATCACACCTTATGCATAAAGGTAGAGGGCAATCAGTTCTAAAACCATGGTGAAAAGGCTTAATTCAAGAATCCAAAAGTGATAATCATAGCAAAATTAAAGATTTGATGAAGCAAAAAAAAGAAAGGCTTAATCACCGCCGGTCTGGTAGACATAGGTGAGGCCACACTTGCCGCAGTAGTGCCTGTCGAAGTGGTTGGCCATGAAGGTTCCGGCGCCGCACTCGGCGTTGGGGCACTCCTTGCGAAGCCTCTGGACCTTTCCAGACTCATCCACCCTGTAGTACTGCAAGACGGCGAGCTTCACCTTCTTGTGCTTATGTTTCAGCTTCTTCGGCTTGGTGTAGGTCTTCTTCTTGCGCTTCTTCGCGCCGCCGCGGAGGCGGAGGACGAGGTGGAGGGTGGACTCCTTCTGGATGTTGTAGTCCGCGAGGGTGCGGCCGTCCTCCAGCTGCTTCCCGGCGAAGATCAGGCGCTGCTGGTCCGGCGGTATCCCCTCCTTGTCCTGGATCTTGGCCTTCACATTGTCGATTGTGTCCGACGATTCGACCTCGAGGGTGATCGTCTTCCCCGTCAAGGTCTTCACGAAGATCTGCATTTTGATCGGCGTTGAGAAGCGTAGGGTTTCAGGGCGGAGCAAATACGTTTATGTACATAAGGGCTGGGAGGCTAGGGTTCGGATCTGGGCCAATACTTAATTTCAAAGAAGTTATCCAATGCAATGGGCCTAAATATTTTAGAGAATAAATATTTTTGAAAACATGATATTGGCCGTGTTTGGAAAACAGCATTTGGAATGCTTTTGGCATCTTTGACTGACTTTGGCTTTTTTGACCAAGCAAACCGCCAAAACCATTATTTGGCTAATGGCTTTTTCACTTGGCATTTTGATCCGAAAAGCCAAAATCAGAAATGCCAAGGAGAGTAGCATTTGGACTTGACGGTTAGGAAAAATAATTTTTTTAAAATCATTTTTGTTGAAAGATATTTTATGATATATGTAAAAAATAAAAATAAAAGTTAAAAAATTAAATACTAAAAAAAAAAATTAAAATTTAAACATTTCAAAAAATGAAATGAGAAAATAAAAAGAAAAAATCATTAAAAAAATTTATATTTATGATTTATTATGAATTAAATGAAATTAAAATTTAATACTCCATATAGTAAAGATTTAATTTTTACATGTAAAAAAATGAAAAATAAATATCGTGTGTGTATGTGTGTGTGTGTATATATATATATATATATATATATATATACATATACACACACACACAAATATTTTTCAAAATATGATATTCTCTCGTTCTCCCAATAGTTAATTAGAACATCGCTATAAAGAGCATATAAAAATTCTTGCAAATGAAAATATCGTGTTCCGAAAATCTAGTGGCATCGAAATATCACTGTGCTCTGGTGCCAACGAAATCGTGTTCTTAATAATATCTTACATAGACCTGTCAAAAACTAATGACATGCCTTGTTTTTTATCTGAAACTCGAAAATACTAGTCTTGAACAAAGGTTTTGTTTATTAAATCTAAAATGATCCGCTAAAATGGTCCAAATCCAATCGAACCTGAACCTGAACCCGACCTAACTAGCCTACTAATGTATGAATTTTTAAAATCATACACTTTACTATGAAATATAATGTTATAAAAATAAGATTATAATTATTTTTTCTTACTACTTGTTTTAAGTGTTATATTTTTTATATAATTTAATGATATTGCATAATTATTTTATTTTTTTCTAAAAAATATGCATTTTTTCCTTTATATTGATTTATATACCTAAAAATTATTTCAGAATTTAAAATAAAATAATATAATATATTTAGAACATATTTTTTGATATTTTAATTTATTTAATGTGAAATGCAAGTGATGATATGAATTTAAAATTTTTAAAAACTAAAGTCATAACCCGTTGGGTAGACTCATACCCGATAACACTGTATCATGAACATAGAGTTCTCAACCTGAACCAAAATTGATCCAAACCGGAAGTAACCCGAAATGATCGAATCCAAACTCGACTTGACCGACCGACTTGTCAGCTCTAATTTCACACATGTAATTTTTTATATCCACTCCGACCATATCTTTTATATTTTATACAAAGTATATCTTTTCTACAGTATCTAATATAAATAGAAGATAAAAAGTGAATTTTGCAATATTTTGATTTTTACACTTTCTTTCACTTGATATCCCTTTGTCAATTTTTTTTTTGTTTATTATATTGTTACGTGAATTAAATGCTTTCATCATCCAAATTTATATTAAGTTCTCAAAATAGTATTCAGGAATTAAATGCTTTCACAAAATGATTATTTCTAATTAAAGGGTGTAACACCTTAAAAACCGGTTTAGTAGTTAGTCGTTATTTTGAGAAAAAATAAATATTATATAATATTTTATTTTCGTACCCAAAAATATAAATTATTTATAAAGTCAACCTTAATATACTTAAGTTGGATCGTTGGGTATATCTCGTAAAAAAATAAGATCAATGGTACCAAGTTTAAACTTACATGTAAAACATTATGCACGAAATAGATATTACAGTTCAATAAATAAATATAAAGAATTTTGTAATTTAATAATACGGAGTAATATATTATTATAGTAACCTAAATCCTACCCAAAGTCGTAACCCCAACCCGCCCCTTACACATTATATATACACACGCACACAGCCAAAGCTAAAGAGTACTCTGATTGTGAAAGAGAAGGAAGAACAAAGCCACGGGAAATACGAGAGAGAGAGAGCTAATGCAACAGACTTGCCAAGAATCTGACTGATGCACGGTTGATAGTTCACCACTGCTCGGTCGCACCACCGCTATGTTCGTCGTTCTTTTTGTTCGTTATTCAATTTGTTTGAATTGTTTAATCCTTCTAAAAATTGAGGTGAGTTTGTTCTACCGTAGAATTCATAGATAGCGTTAATTCGTATACATGCTCAATCATAGATTCATTTATGTGAATTATTTGATTGTAATTGAGATGTTAGCCCAAGCTTTGTTATAAATTGTTAATGGTTATTTGAGCATGAAATAGGCATTGGTAAACAATTGAACCAGCTACAATCTACAAGTGAATCTTGTATCTACGTCCTTATGTGCAGCATGATTGTAAGTGGAAAGTGTTTGCACCTGGCACTAGGCCATTAAGTGTCATATATATGTATGCTTATGGTTTGTATTATAATCAAATATGAATTTGAGAATATGAAACTATGAATTTGAATACGAATAGGCTACCTAGCTGAACTCTAAAAGACCGAGAAATCAAATAAGAATACAACTATGAGTTAATGGTCATGTGATGATCCAGCGTGCACGCATGATCAGTTGTGTAAAGCATGCACATGAGGTCTAAGATCTATTCATGGATGTGATTAGGTGATCCCACCCTGCTGATGTTTGATGACGTCGTATCAAGCAAGTTCTACCATAGATGTGGTCGAATCAAAACTCTAGAACAAATTAAGAATTGACCTTAGCCTAGGATAGATTATTAGCTTAGAATTAAGGAAGATTAGTTATGAAGTTTGCATATAGATTGCATGTCATAAATGTCTCACTTAAGAGCGAAGTAAATTTAATTGCTAATCTAGGTAACCAGGTTTGATTCATGAATGGTTGATATTACTGTTATCTCTTGATGCTGTTATAATAGTGTTTGCATGGAAAGCTATGAATAATTATGTGTGTTGAAATAGTCTTACATGTAACTTCTACTGTTGGAACTTCTCAGTCAATGTGAAAGCTGAGCGTGTAGTTTATTTTTATCTGATACACGTAATTGACAAGACTGACGAATAAGGAAACAATCTCGATAGGCAGCGAGGATAAGGATATGAATGAATGTGTGCTAAGGAGTTATTTAATTTAAAATTATGTCTGAATTTATTTTGTTTTTCGAGCAAGGACCTAAAGTTGAGTTTTGAATTAAGTATTTAAGCTTCTGCACCATTTTACATTACTCCGAAGGATGTTTTAAATAATATTATGAATTAAATTTTTTTATTTTTTTAAAATTATTGTGTTTGGATGTAGCAGATACCACATGACTCCTGATGGTGTAAATTATCAACCGGTATATCGTTTTTAGCCCGGCTAAAACGATAAACTAGTCTAAAAAAATACACCAAACTATATACACGAGGATTTTTACGTGGAAACCCAAATCGGGAGAAAACCACGGGCCTTTTTTGGCAGTACCTTGCCAACGGGGAATTTTTATTAATATCGGGGGTGTATACACGGTACATGATTTAGGCATAGGAGCCATTAATGGAAGCTATGGAAGCTTGAAGCTTCTTTAAGAAAATAAACTACCAAATTTCTAGAGAGAGAGAGAGAGAGAAAGTTGGCAGGGGAGAGTGTTTGATTGTAAGGAATGGCCTCCTCTTCACATTAGGGGCACCCTTCCTTTTATAGGAGGGAGGGGGGAGCATCTTTGGAGGAATATTCTCTTATTCCTCTATTTTATTAAACATGCCCGGTTTGACTATTCTTCATAAAATAATTGGGACATGTGGGCCGAGCCACGCATTATTTCCCATCAATAAGTCCTCCACTTTTTTAAGTTGTGAGAATCATCAACTTGAAAAAGTAAACAAGTCCTCCGAGTGCTATCTTCGATCTTCGTACTTTGGATTCTTGACCGGTTGATATTGTTGCTAGTCCTCCGAGTCTTCATTAGTTCTCCAATTTCTTGAATAAGAAGGTTTTCCTGCAAAAATAATATGTACAACATTTTTTTTTGACCGGCCTGTGCCGTGCTCAAATAATTTTCTTATCTTTACCGAGCAGCTCGGTGTTAGGGTGATTAAAGTTCGCACGAATAATTATCGTAACAAGAGCGATGTCAGTTCGATTAAGCAACGATGCTTCGAGTAGTTATTTCGTCGAAGTCAGTGTTAATACGAGTCAAGCATACGATGCGTGACGAAATTAGTATACAGACGACAACGACGTTTGTTAATAAGAATTGAATCCGATGTGGTAGCTTTGTTGAAGATCAGTGTTAGCGCGGCTGACTGATGTAAATATCTTCATGTCTCGCGGAGACCATCTTCGATCAAAGTGCCTCAGATTGAGGGCTTAAATGAATCGGGCGTCCCCGATATGAGCTTTGCTCACTTTTTGCTGAAACCGATGTGCAATCGGTGTACCCAATTCGATTGGGCTCAGGCTTATGGGAAAATATGTGTAAGACTGGTGTGAGACCAGTGTACCAGTTCGACTGGGTCACATATTTTCTTTATTATACTGAGCAAGGCCGGTGTAGTAACCAGCGTGCCAGGCCAGGCCTGTGTCTCAGTCTTCCAATAAGAATGCTGCTGGCCGGGCCAGATCAACATTGGAGAATTAACCATGTCGGATGGTTTCGAGCCCTCTCCAAGGCCCAAAATGCACCCTTCTTCCAGGGCCCCCTCTTCCGGGTGATTAAGTCTTTTAATGGCCCTTTGACATTTACTATCCCGGGAAGGCCTTAGCTCACCCCCCGTTCAAGTCTTCCCTGAGAAGGGGGAAATAGGATGCGCCACGGTGGACGATCCCCTTCTATTTCTTTTAAT